TTTGGTGTATTTTGAAAAGATATTTGTTTTTGAAGATGGATTGTGAGCAAGCAACTAAGAACGTTCTACCTACTCAAAATTCTTTTGTTCATTTCTCTCTTCCTTTGACATTGTTATCTTACCATTGATTGGTAAGAATCCCTATCTTTGGATGTAAAGGGACGGACGTGGGTCATCGTATATGCATAGAAGGCAACATTATAGGATACCTTAGTAATTTGACATAAGGGACTAAGATCGTTTACCGAAGGCAACATTGAAGGGTCGTCGAGGGACTACGATCTTGTATTCGAGGGTCGTTGCTAAAGTATCTCACATTCGAGGGACATGGCTACTTTTATCTGAGCCAACAAGTGTGGATTACCCTAGAGGTGCGCGTGTTCGAGTGTATTGATTTCATGTATTTTTGTCTTGAATTAGGATTGTCTACTTGTTGATTTTAAGTCTTACCATACACACCCTAATTACTAACAATTATATGAAAAAAATGATAAATTTGCTGAAATTAAAATCCTACGCTATTACATCATTAGGGGGATGGGGGTAAAATTTAAAAATGGAGATGGATGGGATTTTAAATATTACAACCATATTGAATAGTGATAAAGAAAATATATGAAAATAGATAAAACGGTGTAAAAGAATGGAAAACTGCATTTTTGAATATTATGTGTCGACACATGCTCCTTTGCATCGACATATAAGCTTGTCTTGCTCTTGTAAGTCGAAATCAATTCAGTATGAGTCGATGCATAAGGGTATGTGTCAACTCATTCCTTGCATGTGTCGACTCATACGTGTTTTGTGTCAATTCATACACTCTTTATTCCTTCTGTTTTGTCCATGTATAACAGTATGTGTTGACACATAAAGGCTTTGTGTCGACTCATAACCTGTTTTTCCACTAAGATGTTTGACTCATATGGATATGTGTCGACTCATACTGTAATTTTCTTATTCTATCATTGTTTTACTGCACGCAGGGGTTAGTTCTCAACACATAAATGACAAGAATGGAAGACAAACAAATGTTAGCTTCAAGGAGAATGGTTATTACATTTTATCTTCAAAGATGAATCAACTAATGATGCTTAAAATGAAGGGTTTAAAGTCAAGGAGGCTTACCTTGAAGCTGGAATTTGTGTTTTGAGCTTGAGTAGCTGCCTTGAGTATTCTTGAGCTTGGATAAATAGAGATGCTACAGAAGTTGTGCTTAAGTTTGAGTTACTGTCTATATGATGTATGTCGAGTGTTTGGATAGTTTGTTTGGACAGAACTTGTAAGGTGTGAGAGTTCCAAATATTTTGACTTTAAAACTCAAGAGTGAAAGCTTTTTGGACAGTTATGGCTTTTTTGAGAGTATGGGGTTTTGATGGCTAGTTTACAACAAAACTTCTGGCTTTTCTCTCTATTTTTTCTGACCTCTTTCACTTGAAATTGGCCTCTTTATTCATAGAGAAGGTTTGAGACTTAAAACAACTCATATTTTGAATCACATGTTATGACTATCTTGCTTGTTTTTGAAGCAAGCATGAAGAATATGTTTCTAATGTTTGTACCCAACTATCTAAAGTGGTTGATCACTTTAAACATGTTTGTTCTGACTTGTAGGAGTTGAGTGTGATCAAAACAACAAGTTAGAGGCTCAAGAAATTGATTTTGTGATTAAAGTAAACTTTTTAAGAATGAATATGCTGCTTTCTTCCAAAAATGGAATGATCACTTGGACAAAGGCTCAAACACTTGGATCATAGTTTAACCAGCTGTGTAAGTATTCAATTAAGGAGTGATATACAAATTTGAGGCCTGTAAAGTGAAGATTATGCAAGATAGCTAAGATTTTGGTTTCTTGTTCATCATAAATTTGTCTTGTAAATCAAGAATGAATGCCCAACTTCAGGTCCTTGAATCTCCTAGCTCAAGTATGATAAATTTATGCTCTTGGATATTTTAGAAAGCTTGAAACATCCTCTATAACTTTAATGTTTTTCCACTTTTATTGAATCAAACTAGAACTTAATGAAAACTGGCCAAGAAGTTGGGATAAAAACCTGACCAAACCTGCTGAAAATTTCTCTAAGTGTTTATTCAAAAATGTCATGACTTCATGAATTTATAACTCAAAATCTAAGCACTTGTAGGACTTGATCAGCAAAGCAAAGTTGTAGATATCATCAAAATCTACAACTTTCTTGTTGAAAGTTTCCTTTGAATCATCTTGCATCTTGGTGAAAGAATAACATGAAGTAATGAAATTATCATGTACAAAAACACTTAGAAAAAATTTCTAAGTCTTGAAAAGTTTGAATTTTCACATTGACTTTTGACTTTCTTGATTTCTTGATGATCAAGCTTTGTATTTTTAAATCTCTTGATGAATTGTGATCTTTGAAACTTAATATTGACCAAAAAGTCAAAGTTTGACTTTTGGTGCTACAGTTGACTTTTTCATCAATACAACTGATTTTAGGTCATTTGATCAATTGACTAAGCAATTTTGGTAATCCAAGGCTTGAAACTTGTCATGATCATTCTTGGAGGTCTATAATAATCTATGAAAGTCTTTTGAGGCATTAAAAGTCTAATTGTCCTTATGAAAACTTAAACCCTAATTTGATGTATCAGTGTTGCGAGCTTGAGCCATTGAAGATCTTCTGAGAAATGTATTGAGAAAAGAGAGGGAAAATTTTGGAGTACAACAAACTCCAATAGCACTTCTAGCTCTAATGAGTCAGTTCCATCATCAACATCTGAGTCCAATATTTCAATACCTTCTGAGGCTATAACATAGGTTGGAACCTATACTCATGCTTACTCATGTTGAGCCTAAATCCATCCAGCTAGCTCTTGTTGACTCATAGTGGAAGTCAACTATGCAAGCTGAATATGATGCCCTACTTCACGATAATACTTGGTCTTGTGTTCCTATTTCATTTAATAGATAAGCCATTGGTTGCAAATGAGTTTTTAGAGTTAAGGAAAATCCAGATGGAACTGTCACTAGATACATGGCCAAGATTATTGCAAAAGGGTTACATCAAATGCATATGTTTGATTTCACTGAGATCTTTCCTCGTGTGGTAAAACCTATAACCATAAGGACCATCGTCACTATTGCAATTACTCACCACTAGTCTATTAAAAAACTTGATGTGGACAATGCCTTCCGTAATGACTTGCTGGAAGAAGAGGTTTACATGGAGCAGGCTCAAAGGCTTTGTTAGCTCCAATCCATCTCTTGTGTTCAAGTTGAACAAGGCCCTTTATGGCCTTAAACAGGTCCTAAGGCAGTGGTTTGAAACACTTCAATCAACTTTGCTCAAGATTCAATTTTAAGTTAGAAAATGTGATCTTTCTCTCTTCAACTATTTTTCAATGGTCACACCATTTATCTACTTGTTTATGTAGATGATATCACAATTACTGGAAGCTCTAATACTCTTCGTGATATCATCACCAAGCTTAATCTGGCCTTTTCTCTCAAGCATCTTGGTGAGTTGGACTATTTCCTTGGTATTGAGATCAAACAAGCATCTCATAACTTTTTTATTCTCATTCAATCAAAGTATATCATAAATTTACTTCTCAAGACAAATATGGTTGATTCTTGTCCAATTAATTCTCCTATGCATTCTACTTGCAGGCTTACCAAGTATGGTCCCAATGCTTTGGCTGATCCATACGTGTACAAGTGAGTTGTGGAGGCCTTGCGTCACTATAACTAGACTTGACAATGCTTATACAGTCAATAAAACTTATTAGTTTATGTCTCATATCCCTGAGGCTCGCTGGATTGCAGTGAAAAAGAATCTCAGGTATCTCAAAGGCACCATTAACTTTGGGTTACATACCTTTCCTCACTCTCCTATCACTCATTCTTTTAGGGTGTTTTGTGATGTTGATTGGGCATCAGATCCTGATGGTAGGAGAAGCACTTATGGTGCAACCATCTATTTTGGTGATAATCTTATCTCTTGGTGGCCCAAGAAGCAACATGTCCTGTAGTTGTTAGGTGTTGCTAAATATAAAAATCTAGCCTAGGACACTGCTAATTTGATTTGGATTCAGACACTGCTTCAGGAATGATACTCTCCGGGACTAAACATATAGAAATTGATCTCTTCTTTATAAGAGAGAAGGTAGTGACTAACATCTACAGTACTGCAAGTTCTTCATATTCCTGGTGTAGATCAACTGAGCGATGATGTTCTCACCAAGCTACGATGTTCTCACCAAGCTCTGGTGGTATTAGAGATAGGTTAGAATAGGTTAAGTTTAGAGTTCTATTATAAATACATTATGTTGTTACTTGATTGTGTGCTTGATGAAACTAACTTTTCATGATTAGAAATTCAGTTACACACTATGAAAAACCCTACTATTACATTCTATCATTTTTCAACTAGGATGTCCTTAATTCGCCAAAGGATAATAATGCTTCTGATTCATTCATTTGTTGAATAAAGGCATGCCCATTCTGAGAAACTTTCACTTCATTCAGTAGAAACACAAACCAACTTACTTAACTCCAACCAAGCCACAACATGGGCGTTGTAAATCTCTACTGTACACACATTCGCCATTTCATGTGAAATAGATAGTAGTCACATGGAACATAATAGTAATAAATAGATACAATAAACTATTTTTTTTTTTTGTATATAAGCCGAAAACATAAGAGACTCGGACATAAAATATAATAGATATAACTGTACGAGATAATAACATGTGACAGCAATGAAACTCACAACCAAATCCACTAAGCCAAAAATTAGACTCCTATGATGATGATACTCTATTCAACATGAACCTATAAATCTTTAGTAAATAGACAAGGATGCACCGTGATTGCATTTTTAATACCCCAAATCCACACTAACTTACATGTCTCCCCCAACCAACCTCTTTTTTTTGTATTTTTTTTTTTTACTTTCAACTGTTTGACTAACTACTATAAAATGATGTAGGAAAAACCAACACAGATGTGATGTGATGTTTGTTCATTCATTTGTACCATCAAAGCTTCCCATTGCATTTGCTCGTTTCTTCTCTCTCCAATTCTCTCCCCATACTCTTGCTTCCGCAACTGCGCGTTCTCTGTCCAGGTCACGGTTCCTTGGAGTCTCTCTAGCTCTTCCGGTATTTACAGGGCTTTCTCTCTGAGAATCATGCCTTTCCAGATCATCCATTCCCCCCCATTTTCTACCTGACCCGCTGCCACCGGTGTCAACCCTGCTCAACTCACTTGGATCCCTGCTGTCTCTCTTCCTGAAGTCAGGTGAGTTTCTGTGGGTAGATGGAGAACCAAGCTGTCTGCGGTCGGGACTATCCATACTGTCTGTCCTCATCCTAGGAGTTGATGAACCGAGCCTGTTTGACTGAGTGGATGCATTCGGGTCAAATGTCTGGGAGGCTAGATATGTGAGAGCAGTCACTACATCTCCTATAAGAGGTCTTGTGGCAGCTTGTTCCTGCAAACACATTGCTGCAACTGCAAGTGCCTGGTACAGTCCTCGCATTGGATATCGGCCTTGAAGTAGTGGATCAGCCATTTTGGGAAACTTCCTGCGGTCTTTAAATAAAGGTCGAGCCTGCGTAGTTCCATACCACAAGAAAATGAAGGAAAATATCGGTAAATTTATATTACGGGTCTGTTTGTTACAATTATTTCAAAAAATCACTTTCAAAATTGTCACAAACGGGCCCATACATGTAATTCAGAAGTCGGTAAAAATATTAACATAAAAACCAATTTACTTGATGCATGACCGGGAAACATACACAAGGATGATCAGGTTAAGGTGTACTTACCCATGCCACGAGATTATGCTCACCATGCCCGCGCGTATTATCAATAGCCTTGCGCCCGGTAATGAGTTCAAGGAAGACAACTCCGAAACTATAGACGTCTGATTTGAGAGTTAGTTGACCTGTCATAGCATATTCTGGGGCACAATAGCCATATGTTCCCATTACTCGAGTAGATACATGAGTCTTGTCACCAACTGGACCGAGTTTTGCCAGCCCAAAATCTGATAACTTAGGATGAAAATCATCGTCTAGGAGGATGTTGGATGATTTTAAGTCTCGGTATATCACAGGCGGGTTCGCTTTGTCATGCAAATATTCCAATCCCTTTGCTGCACCAGCTGCTATTTTCATCCTTGTGTTCCAGTCTAGAGGCTCCTTGTCAGGAGGAAGATCTGGAAAGAGAGAGATTCAGAGTCAGAATGGTGATAAAGCTGGATTATCTAATGTAGTAGTCCATTTTAATAAGCATATCTATTAGGAAATTCCCTACGATCATCACCGAAACCAAATTTAATTAAAAACATTGATTAATCCTACAGTTCTACGTCGCAGTTTAAGACTTTGCTTCTAACGACTAGACTAGCACCACCATTATATCAATTCCACATTAACAATCCAACATTTTTGCTTGGCAATGAGAAAAGCATTAAAGAATCCATATGGCTTTCCTATTTCAATAGAAATGATCATGGCTACTCCAATGTACTAGTAGTTAGCTGCACACAAAAATAATCTAGGTTTATGGAAAATAATAAACACTCGTATTCTGTTGAATTACTTTTTTATCTCACCGCTTAAATAAACAAAACAAAAAGCAGAAATCCGGCCAGTCAACAATTAGTCAAAGACCAGTCACTGAGTCACCATTGGTCAACTTCCTAGCCTACTCATACATGGTTTTCTTCGATATGATAATTTGAACCGAAATGAAATCTAATATTTTATGGCGTCGTAATATGCAAGCACATTTATTCATGAATCATTAAAGCAAAAATTTCAGTTAGGAAAGCAATCTGACCATGTAAATGATCCTCCAAAGATCCCAATGGCATAAACTCATAAACAAGAAGCCGCTGATCCCCATCGGCACAATAACCAATTAAGTTCACAAGGTTTGGGTGATGTAAGAGGCTGAGCATGAGAACTTCCACCAAAAACTCTCGATTTCCTTGAAGTCCATTTCGGTCAAGCTGTTTTACAGCAACTACCTGCAAATAAAATTATTCATCCGCAAAAGATAAAAAGGAGAGGTAGAGTTATACTACCTCCATCCCTATATGTAAGACCCTTTAGCAAAATTTATTGTCCAATTTTATATGACTATTTTCAAATTACAAGATGCATGGATTATTTTTTCAGAAAACACCCCAAATTAAATGAAGAGAATTAAAAGATCAACCAATTCCACCTCTTAATAAATGTACAATAATTTTGGAAAGAGAATGAACATTATTGACAAATTAATATCGAAACTATTTTTCCTAATTTTCGTGCAATGGTCAATGAGGTCTTACATATACGAACAGAGTTAGTAGTAATAAAGCAATATTAAAATGGAAAGCTGGTGATTGAGCAATAAACTTTCCAAGCCAAAAATGTTAAACTGTTAAAAGAAAAATGAAAAATTGTTTTCATAGTAACAACATTAAGCCGAGGTTCATTTATATAATAAGTCCGAAGTTTCTGTAGCAGCAATCACAACTTACCTGTCCCGTGCTCTCAAGGCGACCTTTGTAAACACGTCCAAAACCTCCTTCGCCTAATAAACACTCTGGCCTAAAATTCTTTGTAGCAGCTGCAAGCTCTCGAAATGTAAATGTTTGTGCAGCAATATGTGCCGTTGGTCCATCCTTTGGAGCTGGCGTTTCCTTCTTAGAATCTGATACACTTCGTGATTTCGATTTATCTACACAAGTAATTAAAGATAAGTAGGAGTCGGAGCAATAAAAAAACACCATCTTGGATGAATTAAATTATCGAAAAACATAAAGAAGGTCATGCCATGATGTCGACGCTCCTAGTCATTATGCTCAGTCAAACAAGGCGTAGCAACACATTAAAAACAGCCTTAAAACCATATGCCGATTTATCGTAAACTACACCAGCAACTACCTTTGTGCTAAATCCCTCAATAACAATGTTTTCATCCTTAAATCATATATCACATTCCACAATCGATTACAGGATCCTGAACGTTTAGCCCATTGACTCTCCCAGCGCTTCCCAGATTTCCCAACAAATGCTAACGAACCTAATTATTTCTAGTAGCCCAACTACCTAAAAATCTAAATGTTTAACACTTCGCCATCTACTACATTGAAGAACACTTCGCTGAAAATGCATCTGCTTTACATCCTAGAATTATAAAAGGACAAACATTCATAAACAATGTGATATATTGTTCATATCATGTGCAGATGGAGCAGATCATCAACAATGTTACTAGAACTTCCTAATAAGAACGAAGTTCAATTACAAAATCAAGTGAAACCAAAACCTATCATCAATATTCACTACCATCAAATCAATGAAACCACAACTTCAAATGAACCAGATCAAACCAACAAACAACCTAGCCCTAAAAATTAGGTCACAAAAACCAATAAAAACGCAAAATTGAACAAAATTGAAGCCAACCCAACAATCAAAGAAAAAGGGCATAACAAAAAAAAACAATTTTTTCTCAAAATTCAGCCTCTAACCTGAGCTAACCCTAGTGGGGTGATGAGATTGAGGACCAGAACCTTCCTTAAACCCCTCTTTCTTGGAAACTTCCTTCACACCTTTAGTGTCCTCCTTGTTGGATGATCCAAAACAAGGAAAACACCCACCCATATCACAAATCTAACAAAAACAGCCACTTTTCACAAAACCCAACAAGAATCAACTCTCATAAACAAACCCTAATCACTTCCACCTTCAAAACATAGTCAAAATAAAAAAATCCAAAATTCACCACCAAGAACGAAACTTTTTTTCTCACTCTAGAAATTTTCTCTCTCTAGATTATGAGTAGTTGTGGTTGAAGTTGATCTTCATCGGACATTAAACGGGAAGATCGAGAGTAGGGTGGTGGAGAAGCAGATCAACCAATTGAAGAAAATTGAAAGACAAAGAAGGTAAAGGAAGAAAAATAAAAGAAATAAATAATGTTAGAAGAATAACGAAAAAGGGAAAAATTAAATTAAATTAAAAACGTGGTAAAAATTTCAAAATAGGATTATTTTTATTTTCATTTTTTTTGTGTTGAATCAAATCTAAAAGTTAATTTTAATATGAAAACATGGTGTTACAAAATGGCATGTAATTTTTTTTAAGAAAATCGTGGTACACAATCCCTATATTTATGGGGATCCATTTGTAGTAGAATGGGATTGCCATGGAGTTTAAACTTTTTTTTTAGTTGAGTTGTAAAAAATTAACTAATATCAGTTGGATCTTTTTACTCAATTAATTTAAATAAAAAATTGGATAAGATTATCAAGTTTAGTGCCCACATTTTTATGTGGTTTTTTTGAATAAAAATATTGATTAAAAGTTTTAACAATTATTATGTCATTTTTTAAAATTGTTAATTAAAATATATAAATATAAAAATAAGTAGATACAATAACCTTAAACTATACATAATCGTTAACAGTTTGATCGATCTGATTTTTGAACACGAGGTCTCAATGTTAGGTGTTAAACTTTTACTGTTCGGATCGTCGAAACAAAATTTGAGGAAGGAGATATCGTGTTTGCACGACATCAATTTTTTTAGGGATGCTCTACTAGACTTTGGAAGAAAACCTAATTGGCATGGGCTTCTCCGGTGTTGGCTACCAGCATTGAGACCTTTCATGGTCGGGTCTTCTTCCTCTAATGACTCATATGTCTCTATCCTAACTCCAAACACAAAGTAATCTTTTACACAAGCTCTTCAAAATGTGTGACATATGAACTTCTAATTTTATCAAGTCTTGCCTCAAAGTTAATCGTCTCTCGATCAAACAACTAAGATACTTGAAGAGGCATACAGAGCAATACTCAAACCTTGTAGTAATAATTTACATAAGAGATTGATCATTAGAAAAGGTATTGTGTCAACGAAGGCATCACAATTACGCGAAAAACACATTCCAATCACTAATTTGGATTTAACTCCTTTAGGACATGGCTATTTTGATTTTCATTAAAATTAAGGAAGGATCTTAACAAGATTTGGAGTGTAAGGACACGGAATGTTAAGCCCTTGCTCTTGTGTTTGTTTGCATGGATGCTAGATTTTAGAACTAAAATTATGAAGACTACACATGCTCAAGTGTGGTTGAGGATGTATGATTTATCCTTAGAGTATTGATAACCTACTACTTTATTTGCAATTACTTCTGGTATTGACACTTCTTTTTCAATTGATGAACTTACAAGAAAAAAGAACTTGACAGCATTTTGCGCGTGTAGGGATAGACATTAGCACGTAAGATGTTCTCAATGACCGTATTTTGGTGAAACGAAAGGGTTGTGCGTTCTTTGTTGAGTTGGAATTGTTGGGGTTGGTTGCAAATATACATGCAAGTATGTTGAAGGAAGAGGGAGTCCAAAGCTATATATAGGATTAAAGTTCTTTTAAGTCTCACATTGCTTAGTTTAATGGTGTAAGAGAGAATTCAATGCTCTATATAGGATTCAAGTTTTTCTTTATAATATGCACCAGTCAAAAGCACTTTAAGCTTGTATTTGACTTTCTTTGTTCTCTTATACTCTTGTATTAAAGTATTGTGAGATGTAGTTTAAAAAAAAAATGGAGGGTGTGGATGTACTAGGAGCCCGGGTTAGTTGCAAGTATAGTGTATTGTAATAATTTTCACATAGTGATAATCTCTAGTTGTCTATTGACAACGACTATGGTTTTTTCTTCGATTTTAAAATTTCCACTTTAATCTCTTGTGTTGTTATTTTGTTCCTCTTTTTCTCTATGGTTTGTCTTTTCTCAACAGGAATATGAGAGTTTACCTATTTTCACTACTACAAATACTACATTTCCTAACAATAACTTACACCAGTTATCTAACCAATTGAGGTACAATCACTTCTATTAGGCGCCTCAATTTAAATTTAAATTATTAATTAAAAAGTATATCACTAATTTTCTCAGTTTAGGCATCCAAATGAGAGAAAATGAGGTTAGGGGACCACATTTCGAATCTCAGCTCTTGCAGTTTTTGCTTTTTTTTATAATGTATCTATTTTACTTGCACAAGTGTTTTTATATTCTTTTTTATTTATTTTAAATTTATCTATTATTTTTTAGGTGAAGTCTAGGGTGAACCAGCTATTAGGTGTTTCACGGTGAATCATTATTAAACACCCTTAGATGAAACAATTTCAGCGAATCTTATTATGTCTTATCTGTACATACTAATTTACATACTAATTTGCTTTTTTTCAATCTTTCTTGATTTCACTGGTTAGTTTTTCAGCTATCCACTCTCATACACAATCTTAACCATAGTGTCATATCATATTCATGGTGCTTCAAAGTTGAAATTTTATAAATTCCCAACTATTATCAAGTAATATGGACATCTATTAGTGTTTCGAAGATAAAACCAATAGCTTCTCACCAAACAAATAGAAAAATTTCTAGAAAAATGTTCAGAATCTTTTGGAGTCATATACATTGGGTGTTTTTATAGTTCTCAATCTTTTGGCCATGACATTGATATTAATCATTTCTCATTCAAGTTTTCATTTTTTGAGTTTACTCTAAATATACCCAATTATTTTCATAATCAAGAAACAATTTTTTTTATATTCAAGTTTTCATTTTGTGAGTTTATCTCTAAACAATATATAAATATTACCCAATTATTTTCAGAATTAATAACCAGTTTTTTATTTTTGAGAAAAAATACATATAAAATCTAAACAAAAAATTGTCCAAAATCAAGATATTGTTGAAATTGAATAATTCAAACTCAATAATGTTTTATTTACTTTTGGGTTCATATCTCAAGCAAAAGTTACACGGTGAGGGTGATGGAAAACCTCATTTTCTAGTCTATGAGATATTAGATGAGAATGAAATACCATGTTTATGTCATAGAAATTGATGGAGGGCGTGCAATGAGAGGCAGCCCTTGAAGAACACATTTAGAGTTAAGGATAACGTTAAGTTGATCGAGGTAAGATATATTGTTATAAATGCACCTTCCTCATATAACATAATTTATAGGGCAATCTATTTTCAACCTTCCCAGGACCCCCTATCTAGGTTGTATATATGCATGAAATACCCACACTCAGATAGGTGAGTTGGTATTATCTAGCGGATCAAGAGATTTCCAAGAAGTGTTAAGTAGAATGCCTGAAGTTGAAGAGGACTATGATCGTGCACTAGGTCTAACGAGTAGATACACAAGAAGTGAACATGGTAGACGTGAAACTAGGGGTCGAGTCACAAGAGGTAACTCTCGAGGATGAAGATCGGTCTGCCCTATAATAGGAGAGTGTTGTACCCCAAATTTTTCCCTTTATTTTTCAAGATATTCCTCACAAAGGATCTCCAATGCTCAAGGATTCTCAAGGAATTTATCAGACGAAATCATCTATGAAGCACTGAGACTCCAAATTAGGGTTTTGACTAAGAACGACTTATCATTGACTTTTTGACCTAATATAGAACCTAATGGCTTGAAGAATAATCTCAAAGACTCAAACATAACATGTTGATCCAATTCCATGGCTTAAATAATTTCTCAAGATCAGTGGATTGATAGTTGAAATTTGGTCAACTGATGAAAAAATCAATTGTACACTGAAAAGTCAAACTTTGACCTTTTGATCAAATTTTAGTTTCGAAGATCACATTTCATCAAGACATTCAAAAATGTGAAATTTGATCATCAATAAATTAAGAAAGTCAAAAGTTATTGTGAAAAGTCAAACTTTGCAAGACTTAGAAATTTTTCTAAGTGTTAATTTCATTGTTTCATGACATCTTTTCACCACAATTCAAGATAATTCAAGTTGTTAGAAGCTTTCAAGTAAATAACAAGGCTGTATTTTTAAGTTAAATTGTAAGTTACAAATCCTAAGCTTTGTCTTGTTTGAACTTTTCCATTTGACTCAATCTTCAAACTTTGTCATTATGTTGTCCACAAATATGCATTGTCTTTGTTACAACCTGCATAAATTTGTCCATAAAACCATACCTGCACCAAGCTATCACTACACTCCAAAACTGCTACAAAATAGCCCTGCTATATTGTCTCTAAACCTGTCTAAACCCTGCATAATAATGCCAAGAACACTGTCTCCAAAACCTGTAATGCTGCCCTACAAAATCTGCATCATATCAGTCTCATATTTGCACAAACTTAGCACATAAGAGCTGCATCTAAAAATCAATGAAACAGTGTACCCAAACAGTTCAAAAAACTTATTTATTTCCCTCTCAAATTTCATCAAATTTCATCTATAAATAAGTTGTTTCACAACACACAAAGGAGGGAGTTTTGGAAGGAAAGGAGAGGTTTTTTAGAAAGAGAGAAGAGAGAGTTTTGAAAAATCTAACAGAACTTTTTTGTAACCTCTGCTTATCTTCAGCTCTATCTTCATTCACAAAAACAAAACCTCAACCCACTGTACAACCTTGCAAGTTTTCCCCTAAACATCACATTTTCCAAACTCAAAAACAGCCACCTCCAACTTGCTTTCTCCAAGACAACAACTCGAACTCAAAACACAAATTTCAATTTTAAGGTAAGTCTTCTTGACTTTGAGCTCTTCACTCCAGGCTTCATTAATGATTCATTTTTGAAAATAAATGTAGATATCATAGCCTTGAAGCT